TTTTTAATCCTCATTCAAAGTAGAAATCAAGTTAATGTCCGTTACAGAGTAATCATGCATTTTTTGATCTTCTGTCTGAAATGAGAAGTAGTGATGTCGGTCAAAAGTCGGAGACAGTCGCAAACAAGTTTATTGGAACGAACTGTCATGTTTTGAAAACCTCTCAGACAGAAATAAGAAACTGGTGGCACCTGTTTCCTCCCACTTCGCCTAAACATTTCTCTGTCTGTTCCAAAAACATCTCACTGTTTTTCTGACTTGTAGTAACCTCTTACGTCACTAAAACCACACTCCTGTTGGTTCTTTCAACCAATCAGGACTTCTCAAATGAACCGGAAACAGAACTCTTTAAATGTCGACACTTCCTAGTTCCAGTCAGTTCGGAGTTCTACACTTGAACCAAAGGGCTGGGAGCACAGGAGAACAGAAGTTCTGAGAGCAGAACCGAACAGAAAAAGTTCTGAGACATGAATCGGAGTTCTGGGACGTGAACCAAAGTTCTGGGAGAGAACAGAAGTTCTGAGTTCCTCTGAGTCTTCTCAGAGTCCCGTTAAGTTCTTCTGGTACTGATGTTGTTCGGCTGGAGTTCCTGTAGGAGCCACGATGCCTCGCTGTGACTCCACCCGGTGAAAACTTCATAACTTCTGAGGAGGTTTGTTCTGTGGAACTAGTTCTCACGACTTCTGCCGAGTCGCAGCCGCCCTGAGGAGACGCTGAAAGGTAGCGTACCCGGGACCTCTTGACCGCCGCGGATTCATCCTCCGCCAAAGGTAAAGAGTCGCCATGAGCTTCACTACCAGTGTACCGTGGGCAAACTGCGCTTCAAAGGAGCGTGTTGTTCTGGTCTACAGACATATATTCTCATCCATTTTTTTCCTCTCCATTTAAACTCCCTCATTTCCCATCTTTAAAACTCTTCTATCTTGCCAGTAATTAATCCAGATATTTTCAGAAATGTCTGTTGTATTTCAGTTGCAAGTGAGAAATCATGGCCGTATGATTTCTCATTGTAAAGCTCATTAATTAAGCTGTGTTATTGTGTTCAATCAGAATAATCAAGTGTACAATGTTGATGTTAAACTTTGATTCTGTTAATAAATGACCACATTCATTTTGATGGGTCAAAGAAAATTAACGTCTCATGTCACTGGTTTTTAGACCATCTCCCACACAGTATCTCTGTCACATATCTGTCAAGTAGCTCGAAAAAGAGAGAACCCGTCATTAAATATTGATTGTAGTGGAGCTCCTACGCTAACTAACCCTACATCAATACAGACGGACGGACGGATGGATGGATGGACGGATGGTTGGATGGATGAGGGCCCTGGTAAAGCTCAAATGCAATTGGAAATTTTTCTTAACTTCCAGTATGAATTTAAACAAACACTATATGAACTTAACATTGTAAAATTTGTTTAGGAAATTTAATGTTCAAGGACACCACTTAAGAAAAAAAAGTTTAATAGGAAAAGTAAGAAGTGAAAAATGTATAAAAATAAAAACTACTGCGTCCAACTAATGATTGTGTATCTGTGTGTCCCTTGTCTCACGGGCTTCATCCAGAAGAAGACACAAGTGTTGTTCCTGCTGTGTCCGCTTCAGTTCTTCATGTTCATTCAGTGATGAAATAAGACTTTTCTTTACTGGACTCTTTTCTCTTTCTCTTTCTCTTCACTAGAAAGAAGAAACAGGTGGTTAATTCAAGCTACATACTGTTTTTGAATAAATGCAGAAAACAAAGAAAGGTGCAGCTAACAGCTCTAATAGATATATTAATAATAATAAACTGATCAAATAAGAAAATGAAAAATAAATTTATTTAAAAATAATGAAAATAATATAATGATAACAATGGATTTATGAATCAGAAAGTATTATACAGATACAAATATTCTTTATTGTCATTCGCACCACATGTGGTACATGTGGTGGATCAAAATCATGTACACAGGGTCCCAGTTACATCCAACAATAAAATATAAAAGAAAAACAGTAATAAGATCTAAGATATGAACTAAGAAAAACATCAACTAAAAATATGATAAGCTCTAATAGCATAAAAACATTAAACACAATACGCGAACAGCAGCACGGACATGAGTCTGTGTGAGCAGACGAGCACGAATGAACACAGCAACATGAAACAGATCAGCAGCAACATGAAACTGATCAGCAGCAACACGAAACAGATCAGCAGCAACACGAAACAGATCAGCAGCAACACGAAACAGATCAGCAGCAACACGAAACAGATCAGCAGCAACACGAAAAAGATCAGCAGCAACACCAAACAGATCAGCAGCAACACCAAACAGATCAGCAGCAACATCAAACAGATTAGCAGCAACATGAAACAGATTAGCAGCAACATGAAACAGATCAGCAGCAACATCAAACAGATTAGCAGCAACATCAAACAGATCAGCAGCAACATCAAACAGATCAGCAGCAACATCAAACAGATCAGCAGCAACATGATTATGTGATTATCCTGGTTAGATATTCATGAGGCTGCACAAACTCTAGTTCATGTTGCTGTTTGACGTATTGTTTTGATTGTTTACTGCTATTAGTTCTTAGTGTTTTATTAGTAGATGTTTTTTAGTTGATATTTTTCTTAATTCATATCTTAGATCTTATTACTGTTTTTATTTTACATTTTGTTGTCTGTAACTGGGACCCTGTGTACATAATTTCATCCCAATTCAGTATTTATTCATTTTATTTTTTTTACTTTAAAAATAAAATAAAATCAAGTCCTTATCGGCACAAATAAAGTGATGTGGAACATGTTGCATCTGTTCTTACCGAGCACAGAAGCTGCAGCGTTGTGCTGCTCTGTGAGGTGCAGCTGGGCTGTGATGGAGCTCTGTCAGGTGCAGACTTCGCTGATGGAGCAGGAGCAGAAGCCGGGAGGCTTGGAGGGTTTAATGTGGAGTTTAGAGATGAACCGTCAAGCGCTGAAATACGTTCTGGATAAAATACAGTGAGAAACGGGACCGGAGGACAGTTAGCGTTTATGCAAATTAGCTTAGCATCGTAGCACGGATGTTGTCCTATTATGGTGTCAGCCTCTTTTGTTAGTTAAAAATATGTTCAGAACCGATGGGATGAGTCACTTAAAATATGTTTAAAGTTAGAAAACACTCACCATCTTCTATAAATGATTCAAGTAGAGCAGTGGCCGTGTCCAAACCACCCTCCAATCGCTCCATCTAGCTCGCTTTGACTTTTTTCATCGGCCACCAAGCACAACAACACCTGCACTTCTGCATTTGACCACAGCTTTGATATTATTGTTTTTGTATAGCTTCAAAATACCAAAAGATACGCTCGAGTTATCGCTAATGGCAGGCGGTAAAGAAAAATGGCGGATCGGGTTGTTTGGATCAGTGTTGCCAGATGAGAAATGTAGGATTATCGTACTAGAGACATACAATTATTGTACTTTAAGGGAAATTATCATACACCCGTCAAAACCAAAATAACAAATCTATTGATGCACTATAGTAGTGATGGGTCCGCTTCCAAACTGGCTCTGTTCTTTTTTTCTTTTCCTCACTCATGGGGCGGGTGCAGTGGACTATTCAGCCAATCATGGCCGTTGTTCTGAGGGAAACGCAAACACGTCACTCGTAGGAAACATTTAGAAAAGCACGACTGGCTGGAATTTCCAGCCAATCGTGCATCTGTTTGCGGACACAGATGCCTTCAGGGTTCACAAAAAAAACTCTGGCAGACAGGTGCGAGAGGCTGATGACAACTGATTACAAACCACACATTCACGGAATGGTCAAATTATCGTATATTTGGCCTTTTTTGGGATTATTGATCGTACAAAATACAGAGGGCAAAATAATTGTACAAATACGATAATTATCATACACCTGGCAACACTGGTTTGGAAAGACTCCACAGACTCCTCCCACTGACCAATCAGTGACCGACAGTGTTTCTGACATCAAGGCTCGGCTCGCTTGGACCACTTGAGAAGCCGGGCCAGAATTCTGGGAGGTGAGCCGGTCCCAAGAACCATGGAAAAGACCTCAAATACGCGTCAAGCCGGAACTATCCGACCCGCGCCGTGACAGTGGAAAAGGGGCAAAAGAGGAGAAATATGTTAGAGAGGACATGGAGGTAAATAGAGTGAGGACAGAGGATGCAGAGGACAGAGTGAGATGGAGAAGGACTCGATGTGGCGACCCCTGAGGGAAAAGCTGAAAAAAGAAAAAGGAGGATCAGACAACACTCATGGCAGCATGATGGCTTTGTGGTTAGCTTATGCGTCACAGTAAAAAGGTCCTGGTCCAATCCCGGGTTTGGACCAGAGGTCTTTCTGCGTGAAGCATGCATGTTGAATGGATTTCCTCTCATGGTCCAAGCCCAAAAAACATGTTAGGCTGCCTTCAGGCCCAGACCTCCAGTACAAAGTAACTGTGACCTCAGTGGGATTTGCCTGGTTAAATAAAGTTTAATAAAAACAGAACACATCTGCTTCCAAACATGTCTTTAAGATGGTAAATCCAGAAGCTCCATTGTTTCAACTGCGACACAACTGTTAATGTGAGGGAAACAGCCGAGTCACCACCTTAAACTGCACCACACTTAAATTTAGCACCAACCTGAATATAATCAATTCTGAGGTTTTACCTTATTTTCTAAAATCTAGGTTATCCATGTGGGTTAACGGACCGTTGGTAACGTACAATTCTGATGGACCTAGTGGACTTCTATTTTCCACACTAGTGAAGGCCACCTTTCTTAGCCGGGTTCTTCTCTGGTGGTCTGCTTCTGGTGCGTTTCATTTGTAAGCTGTATTTTTTCCATTACTCTCATAACAAGTGAAACCAGTCAGCTTGAGACACAACGGAATGGCAAAAAGTTTATGAGTAAATAAAAAATAAACAGTAACACCAGTGACAATGAATTCATACATTTAAAATGTACAAGCAAGTCCAGATGAGAGGTCTGATGAGCTTCATCAAAGCACTGCCACATCGATTAGAGGGTGGTCCTCACCACTACACATCAATACACACCAGGAAACAACCCAACATGAGACACAGGGTCCAAGGTTCATGGTCCAAGAAGGAGCCTCGGGTCTGCTGCGCCTGCTCGGTTCAAGTGTCTGCACGTGGTGAACCATGAGTTTGGCCTTTCACTGGAAAGAATTCATGTGCTGAAAATGAAAGAAGAAAGAACACAAAGGCTTGTCTCTTTTTTTAACAGTAGAGAAAATCAGCAGGCAGCAGCTGGCTGTCCATGTCTCTGCTTCCATCTGAAAAGTCCAAGTCTTTTCTTCTGAGGTCCTCACACCATGTAGGAGTTCTGGTTCTTCAGCTTGTCCAGCTCTTTGCTCTGCTGCCTCAGGAACAGGACTCTATTAATGAGAGGCATGACAAGCAGTCAAATCAAAGTGTGCACATGCCACCAGCTGGCGTACTCGTAAGCTTTTTGTTTTACCTCTGCTCCCTCAGTGTGGCCTGGATTTCACACACCCTCACCAGGGAGCGAAGGTTTTTCATCTCTGTGCAGATTTCAGACATGTACAAGCTGCCCATGTTGTGGAAGTCCTCCCGCAGCCGAGCCGCCTGGAAAACATCCATTTGTTGTCAGAAGGAGCAGCAAACGCATCTGAATTCAAGAGTGCGGCGCTCTGCAGACCTCACCTGTTTCTCAGTGTTCTCTGAAGGCCACCCTTGGATGTGTCTGGTGAGATTTTCATCGAAGTGAGCTGCCAGGGAGGGAGTGAAGGAGCTGGGGACGTCTGACTGTGTCTGGTTGGTGCCAATGATTGATGCATGGGGCAAGGCAGGTGTGTTTGATCCTGTGCACAGAATCTCCTGGCTGCTGGAACTGAAACAATTGGTTAAATGCATGTCAGTAAAAAATAAAATTAAAGCTGCAAGCAGCATTGGAGGCCCTCGCATCAAAGTGCCACTCTGGCCTTACGACGACCCCGGGAGCTCCAGCTAGTCCACCCAGTCATCATCATGAACGCTCTCGTGCCAATCCCGCACGCGTTCACCACGGGGCGCATTTCACAAATCTTTAACATCGCCTTCCGTCCATGTCGTTACTTGTCCAGCTGCAGGTCTTACAAGTATAGGTGAAATCTGACCTTCCAGACAGGAGTTATTGTGACTTCCTGTTTTGTGGCGAATGTTTGACAAGCACTTCCTTTCTGATTTTCAACATGTCGTGTGGTAATCAACAGTTGGCGAACAAAGTTTCACTCTAACGTCTCACACAGTGTGAAGCTGGAAGTGTCATCCAATAATCAACATTTTTTTCTCTGAGTAGGTGGGGCTTAAGTGATGCCATGAATCAACAATACCAATGTGTCTACAATGCTCACTGATGCAGCACAAAAACTCAGGTTCAGATTGGACCATGTATCACTGAGATATAACTGTTGGAATAATGTAGGGGGTGCACTGGAGTCAAAAGTTAAACAACAATACCAGTGTGTGTAGAAGTGCTCACTGATGACGTACCCAAAATCTGGCCTAGATCGGATGATATATCACTGAGATATAACTGATTAAACGTAGGGGGCGCACTTGAGTCATATGTTCAACCACAACATCAATGTGTGTAGAGTGCTCACTGATTATGCATAAAAAATCTGGTTCAGATCGGATGATGCATCACTGAGATATAACCATAGGCGTCACAACCATTATATGTGAAGGGATAAGTCCCCCTCACATTAAATAAACGTTCATTTGGACCCCCCCCACACACACACACACACTTTTACTATGAAACATTAGTTCAGGTGGCACAGTTTCTCTTTCTTCGAGAACAAATCCATTCAACTTGATTAATAGAATACTCAAGCCACTCCAGGTTTTCCTGGTTACCTCCAACTCTCCACCGTCTCTTTCTGCCTCTTGCCTCGGCAGAAAATGCGCACAGGTCAAGGAGGTGGAGGTACCTGTGTTGCTCACTTGCCAGTTTAGGAGGTTAGTGCGGGCAGTTGTTGACCGGGGAGGTTGATCATAAACATATATTCATGTTAGGAGGATGCTTGAGAGGAGCTACGTCTGTAGCATGTTATCTTAGCAGTATCTGTGATGCTGTCAGACGCTGCAGGTGTAAGAGACACTGTGTTCAGGTGCATTATAGTTGAAATGTCTTTAAAACCCCACACCTTATTGTCCTCAAGCTTCATGAGAAACATCCTTTAGATGAGGAGTATTGAACACAAGTAAAAAAGACCAGTGGTGATGTTTTTTATTTCTCTATAAAGACAAATAGTGCTGATCTGCCACTCTGTATTAAAGTGTATTAAAGTTAAAATGTCTTTAAACCCACAGCTGAATTTACACAAACTTGATGAGAAACATGTTTTAAATGTGTGGAATTAAAGGAAATCTAGGTGAAATGTTGCTTTTTTGTACACTAGTGAACCCTTTTTTTACGTGCGCACACACATGCACACACGTACACACACCCCTACACACATTATTATGTCCCCCCACATTATGGATGCTTCTGACACCCTTGGATATAACTGTTGGAAAAATGTAGAGGGCGCACTTGAGTCAAATGTTAAAGAACCACACAAATGTATATAGAAGTGCTCACGGACACAAAGTTATCTAAACGGTTCGTTTCGGAGCATGCTGAAGGGGCGGGGCCAGAACTCAAAGTTTGACATCTTGCCATGAAAAACGAAACGCTAATAGCTCCTACAAAAAAACTGTCTGAGACATCAAACCTTCAGTGATTGATCCACATCTGGTCCCCTGCAAAAATGAATGGTCAAATCATGAAGTCACTTAAGCCACACCCCCTGACAACAAGTAGTATAAAGTTTTAGGTTGAACAATCCCCATCTGAACCCTGATACCTGATCAGCATGATAGTGTGTCCAGTGACCGAAGACATGTTGGTGTAACTTGCTTTCCAACACTGACAGTTTTGGGTGGAACATGTGGGCGGTGCGGCGAAGTAAGACGTAACGTCGTCGCCATACGTTTGGCTCTAAATTCCACAGATTTGAACCAAGGTGCCCCAAAATCAGTATGATCAATCATTATCCACCCCTTGAACAGGAAGCCATGATAAGTGGTCAATAGCCTTAACAGCGCCCCCTACAATATTTTAAAACCTCAGTCCCAAGCCATTTTTTGACCGATAATTCTGAAACTCGGTGAACATCTGTATCTTCTCAGGACCATTGAAAAAGTACCTTGGAGCCCTGGTCCAAAACCAACAGGAAGTCAGCTATTTTGGGTTAAACGGTAATTTTGGGCGTTTCTAATGGTGAATTTTAACAAACTCTTCCTAGGAATTTTGAAGGATTGCCTTCAAACTTGGTTGATATAACCCTAAGACATTGGAGAGTAAGTTATCTAAAGCTTGCGTTTTCGTATATGTTAAAGGGGTGACACATTGGTATTGTTGATTCATGACATGACTTAAGCCCCACCTAGTCAAAGAAAAAACGGTTGATTATTGGATGACACTTCCAGCTTCGCACTGTGTAAGATATTTGAATGAAACTTTGTTCGCCAATTGCTGATTACCACACGACATGTTGAAAAGAATAAAAGAAGCACTTGTCAAACATTCGCAACAAAACTGGAAGTCACCATAACTCCTGTCTGGAAGGTCAGATTTTGCCTACACTTGTAAGACCTGCAGCTGGACAAATAACAACATGGACAGAAGACGATGTTGAAGATTCGGGAAATGCGTCCCGTGGTGAACATGTGCGGGATTGACATGAGACCGTTCGCAATGGCGACTGAGTGGACTAGCTGGAGCTCCCGCGGTCGCCGTAAGAACGGAGCGGCGCTTTGCTGCGAGGGCCTTCAATGCCGCTTGCAGCTTTAATTGTTTTTGGGGTACCATCATTACAAAGCCTAAAACTAGTTTTAAGTTTTGTCAGTTTTTTTCTCCAGTGCTCTCAGAACCTCACAGTAACTTTATTACACTGTCATGTTCCTGAGGGTAATGCTGGTCACATTAAATCAGGTCTCTCTGTAAATGAGTCCCCAAGGCTCAGTGAGACTAACCTGTAGAAAAAAAGGTTGAATGAAAAATACCAGGATTTACGGACTATAAGCAGCAACCTTTTTCACACGCTTTGAACACTGCGTCTTATACAAAGCTGCGGCTAGTTTATGGATTTGTACGGGCTAACGAGCTCATGAGGCAATATATATAACAGATCCCAGTGTTAAGTTATTTGCCTTGGCAGCGTGCTCATCTCTTCTGTGATTTTTGTCACGTGTGTGTGTGCGTGTGAAGGAAATGGCTCAGCGTGAGGGAGACGGAACACTACCTCTGTAGCATTTTAGCTAGCGCATCTGTGTTGCGCGCCGCTAGCTTAACACTACGTCAATGCAGACAGTTGTCAACGGGGGTGGGGGGTGGAGGCGGAGGCGGGGAGGACAGTTCAGTAGGCAGGGTGCTCAGTTCTGTTGACAGGGTAGGGGAAACACTGGATTCTGTGAAAGCAGCCATCACGAGGACAAACTCAGTTCTAGCTATGATCCCTGGGGACACAACTAAGTATCTGCAGCCACTTGAAGTAAATGAGAATCGTGCATTTCAAGTGACACTCCCGAGCTCGGTGAGAAGCTTGGATGATTCGCGATGACCAAAACTGCAACTTTTGCTCAAGTCTGCCAGTGGATGCTGACAGTGCAACAGTGTTAAAAAAAATCCTTTATCATCAATGAGTTTCTAAAGGCTGTTGCGTGATGAAGAGAACAGCACAAGCTCAAGTGAGAATTTGCCTCGAGACAAAAGTGACGTTGAGAGCGACAGCGAAAGAGAGACCGAGGACGTATGTGATGAAGATTTCTGAGGTTGCTCAATTCTGACACTCAAGAAGACGGCTTTCGTGGTTTTAGTGCACAAGAGGAAGATGAAGATAGCGATCAGTGACTCCCTGGTAGGCTAAAGTATTTTTTTTTTAACCAGCTGTGTTACAGGCACTGTTCAGTAAAAAAAAGATACTGTACATATTTAGGTATGATACTGGTATTTAATTAAAAGTTTAAAAATCTTTGTGTAAATATCTCATGTTACAACTAGGGATGCACGGATCCAATTTTTTTTTAACTTCCGATCCGATCCTGATACCTAAATCTGGATATCGGCCGATACCGATCCCGTTCGAGTTCCGACATCATCATCATCACCGATTTTATGAGGCTGTAATAATCTCCTCTTAAGTACAATTTTTTTCCCTCTGTATTCCGGTGAAGACAGATGTGTTTCCCGGCGCTCCATACCTCCCCCGCTTCCCTGCTTGCATTCTTTCTTCCTGTGAACCCTTAAAAAGCCTCTTTTTTTCCTGCATACCTCTTAATTGGAAGGATCAGCTGGTCCCTCAACAAAATAGATCAACTTCTCCCGACAGGAGTCAGGGTAAGGAGGACCCTCTTACCTCGACGGAAACAAATTGGATTCATGATGACAACTAGATTCTACTGTTTGGGCTGGTGAAATCTTGGATTATCTACAAATTTGTGTGGATGTGTCGAAGCTCAACACTGCTCGGACTGAATTTGGAGAGCTGCTGCAGGGAGCTGGAGCAGCTGTTATCAGGACTGTGAACTCACTGGCAGCACTCATGAATGGTGGGAATAATCTTGGAGAAGCTGTGAGCTCGACTTTTGGAGTAAAGGATCAATTCGGCTGTTTTGGAGTTCCATCAGAGGAATATATACCAGCAAGACTTTAAAAAAGGCAAACAACAATTCAAGAGTTCTGCCTGACCCAAACTGTGGCCTTGACGCCGGACTTATCTCAACTCCTCCTGGAATGTTTTGAAAACAACAAAGACGCTTTGTCTGCTTCCTCACCCCTCCCTTCCCCAAGGCCGTGGACAT